GTGCTAATATAAATAAAATAGACGATCACCCTCATTTCTAGGATCAATAATTTATTTCAGTTTTTTTTTTTTTACATTTTGCCATTTGTTACAGGAGGAGAAACACTTGCTAATGAAAGTGACATGGTTTTTTAACCATTTTCCAAGGTAATGGAAAAAGTTAAGCATATTTCCTAGTATGCACATTTCTGACTAAGATGCCAATATTAAATAATTTTAGGCAAGTGTACTCCCTATTTAATCCTTGTAGAAATTACTTTTAATACTCTCCTTCTCCTACAGGAAGACTAAATTGTAGCATCTAATTTTCTTTATGCTGAAGTCCCAATCTTTGCTCTCACTACTCATCTATCTGCAAACAAGTCCAACAGACCAGTTACTGAAGCCAAAGCCACAGAAGCAGATTTGGTGCCAAGGTTCCTTTTTCTCCTGGCAACCTACTCGGTTTCCTACTGTCCCAAAAGGAAACAAAAGACTCCCAGTTTTCTGAAAACCAGATTCTCTGCATGACAGTGCATTGCATCGCCACTAAACGGGCCACAGTGGACGTTCTTATAGGAAACAAATCAGGTAACTAACAAGATACAAAGAATTATAAATGAACTTGGTAAAAATGTGTCTAACATTTTCCCAATTGTATATTAACTAGAATCCTACTTTCCTTCCACAAAAAATATATTTTTTTATAAATACATTTTAATACAGACAATTCTGATTCTATGCAAAAAAGTCAATGTCACATTCAAACAGGTTTTCTCAGTGTAGCATTAAGATACAAGCAGACATCACAGTAGGCATCAACACAGTGACTCTAGGGAGGTGGTAAACTACAGCTCGTGAACAGATACACAAACACACAACTTCACCCGCTTAGTCAGACTGTCCTGTGATTTAGAAATGAACTGAGCTGCAACTTGAGGCCTTCAAATATATTTCCATGTTTAGAAAAATTATATGAACTGTCACTGAGATTTAATATCTGATTAATATTGAAACATTTGTAAAAACTTAGGTCGCGCTTATACTGGGGGTATAGAAAAGAACAAAGCTACCAGCTACCGCGAACTCAAGAGAAAAAGCATTTACACTTACCATGGCCTTAAAGCTCTTGGTTCCAATTAGCTCAAATTAACTCTTTTCCTGTCCTTGTCCCTCTCCCTCACTTTTTCTCAAGAATAACCTTTAACACTAGAGTCAATGCACGTAAACTTGTCTGGCTTTTGTGCAACACAGACAGTTCTAGCTGCTCTCCCCCACCACCCCCAAGGGATAGCAATAATCTCTATAGTTTCATTCCTACCTAGATCTAATTAAAATTGAGCTGTTAAACAGATTTTTTTTTTCAGGTTATGAATAATTAATAGAACATTTTTATAATACTTATTAAGTACAAGAGTTAGATATTAGTATTTTCTTCTTTTAAATAGCCCAAATAATCTTAGTATGAACAAGAGCTCCCTTTAATTTTTGTCATGAAGATCAGAATTTAGTTTTTATGGGTCAACACGTAGCGCTATTTCTCAAAATACTTTAAGTCTGTTTGCTTGAAATGAAGGATTTTGCAACTTGGCAGCCTGCAATGTTTCACACACAGAGAGCTACCACTTTGACACTCTACACAAGTTTTTGACAGAGGTGGCAAATAAATAGAGCTCACTGACCTGCTCAAAACCAAGATGCAGTAAGAGGTTATGAGCAAGAACTAAACCCCGACACCTTGCTTTCAAACCAGAAGAGACTTTATACATTAAAAAAAAAAAAAATTCTTCTGAGTTGGGGAGTGTGGATTATTCAGTTATTTCATAAATGTCACCACATAAAGGATACATTCACAGAAACAATTTTGGCTTTTGTCACTGATCTGAGAACAAAGTTTCTAGAATTTAAATGATTTTTAATGTGTTTATTTTTAAAATAAATTGTTCTCTTTCTGCCACTAAAGTCTGTGAACTATTAGACCATGCAGCATGACAGCTAACCACAAATGTATTACTGTTGCCTTTGTTTAAAAAACCTGAAGTTTAAAGGAATCCAAGACTGAACAAGTGAAAGAATGTGTCAAGTTACAATTTCCATGTGTCTCAGAAAAATTATGTCACTAATAGCGCTCACTTAGAGACTTAGTTTCTTTTTCAAGATTAATTCACTCTGTAAAGCACTCATATAATCCTGTTTTACAACAGGAAACAGCTAGTCCTTATTAGCAGATAATCTTGGTTAGCTCTTAGATGTTTCCTTCACTTTCAGAAAGTCAGATCCCAAATTTCCAGACTGGCTCATTAAACAGCGCTGTAGTGCTAATTAAAATCATTTTTTAGAGGAGACCAAAGAAAAAAAATCAAGAATTATTTTTCCAGAGCCAGTATTTGGTGACTTTGGAGATGAACTTCCAAAGCAAACCCAATAATGATTAATATTAAAATACAAAATAATAACAAGTCAAGGAGACTAACAAATTCTTCTGTGAACAATGCCGTTAAGATTGGATTTTCAAGTGGTTTATAATAAGAATCATCTGCCAATTCAAGGGGAAAAAATATGGGTTTCATTTCACAACTGACCTCAGAGTTCTCAGCTCCCTTTCAGGTGAAAGCTGAAGTTGTTCAGCGGTGTACAAGCGTGGTCTTTAACATTAAATCTTGCACGTCGTTTTAATGCAAAACAAGGACCAAAGTGGCATTAGAACAGTTTTTGAAGAAAGACCCTTCTAGCGCTGTTTATGTGCAACAATATAACGTCTCACGTCAACACTACACATTACACTGCTGCACAAACAGGCAGAAAGGGAAGGGAACCTCCCCCTTGGACAGCGATTCCCACGTGTTTGTAAAACACTGTGGGTGCAGACGACCCTAAAGAAATGCCAACAATCTGCTTCCAAGCGGAGCAGAGAGAACAGTGATAACTTGCAGTGGAATACAGAAAAAAGCACCTTCATGACACTTCCCACAGAAAGTTTTGTTATTTGCCTTTGTTTAAGAATCAGAAGTTGTTATTTGTAGCAAAATTTCATTGAATATATAAATAGTTTAACAGCCTCGATGAAAAAAAAAGGGGGGGAAGGGGGCAGACCTAGACTTTTCGAAACTATTTTCACCTTTAGTAACTATTGTGCTATAAAACTTAACGTTCAGTAGCTCAAAGCATTGTACAAATAATGAGGAAATTCTTTGTAACTCTCAAACAGGTAAGTCAGCCACAGGCTAATTGTATGATTTAATACACTAGAGACAAAAAATAGTGATAAATACAAGTCTCATTGTGATAATAATTACAAGAAGATACTAGCTGTGTAAAATCAGTGAACTTTACATACTTTCTTGCCTATCAATCTTAATAAAAATTTCTGTGCTGTAACCTAAATTCACTGCATTTTCTTTAGAAAATGAATCCTCTTTCTGAAGTAAAGAAAGCCAAGCCAAATACAAATGGTCACACGTTTAACAGTGATCACAACCCCAGTAAGAGCACAAAACCCTCCCTGTTCTTAGGCAGACGGCTACATTTGGAACCATTTGTAGTTCTCTCTGACCTAGGCTGTGACTAGAGAGACGTTAATCACGACTGGAAATGGTATTTCGTAAAAATTATTACAATCACACCCATCTGAGGCTAACATATAAAGTTCCATTTAAACTCACAGAATTAGATATGGAGACATCAAGTATTTATAGAAATATCTACAAACTGCAACTGCCTTGTGTTTTTTTTAAAGTATCAGTGAACTGACCTTTAGAGTAAGGGTTTCATGACACCAGGCTACCCCACACAGCCTCCGCGAGTTTTGTTTTGCCTGTTCGTGTTGCCACTTCTTTGCACTTCTACCTTTCTAAGAAGCACATGCTGAGAAACTTGGGCAAAACTGGTCTTAAACTTCTTACATTTACTGAAGAAAGAGCTTTCGCTAAATTTTCGCTGTGCCTTAAAGTCCTACATTAGTAGGCTTACTGTTTCACCTGTGCTAATATCCGACGTGAAGCATTTGGAACAAAGGGAAAACACTGTCAGAACATTCTTCAAATTCAGATACAAATGGAAAATTGGAAATTCCACGCTCTCCAACTGCCCTGGACAAATGAAAGTGTTGCTCTAACAAGCAGCGCTGAAGCCCTTACCTTGGTATTGAGCAGAGATGAAAGAAAATAGATATGAAAAACGTATAGCATGAATAGGCTAAATGTTAGCTATGCAAAAACATTAAATAAAGCTAAAATCCTTCAACTTTTCCTGGTTATTCTGCAATCAGTTTGCAAAAACTGAAATTAATGGAAAACACTTATTGAGGTTCATAGACCCTCAATGCTATTCTGCCTTTGTCTGAAATGCAAAAGGACAGTACTGGACTAAAAACAGCTCTGTCATGGAACTACTGGTCTTCATTGCGAGTCTCAGTGTTTCTGAGATTAAACACAATATTACATAGAAGGAACAAAACTAAAGGATGAAATACTTATTTAGAGAACTTATCTAAAGATGAAACTTGCTTTTTTAAGACGTTATGCTCGACATTTTCAACTGGATGTACAAGTTAAATCGGCGGCGCCTTTGAAACGCTCAGAAAGAGAAACAAATAAACAAAACTCTGCATTTACATCCATCTCCACTCGTGCTGTTTCTCAGATTACACTCTCTGAGAAAGCAAGCACGTCCTAAAAGATACTTGAGGGCAAGAACACCAATCCACAGCATTAGGGCAAAATCCCCCAGGTCCCACAAGGCCATTTTCAAAGCAGACACTTAAAGAACTTAGGGAAGTGGTATCCAAAGACCATTTAGCATTGTAGAACCGCTTAAAGTTCTGAAGAACTGGGTCTGCTTCAAAGCTCAAAAAAGATGAGACTGGCAAATTTAGTCATGAAACTCCTACTGCGGCAAAGAGTCCTTGGTTTGTGGATCCTTGTCCAGTTGACATTGTAGGCAACGGAACTGAAGGTGTTGGTATCCCTGACGACTTCGAGAGGAAAGGGAAGGCCAGCGCAGGTTGGCTGCTCATCCTGTGCTCAAGGTCCTCCACTGTATGAATAATCTGCCTTGTTGTGCATCACCAGCTTGTTGTCTACAAAGTAGAAACTGTCCGACTGCGTCTCGTATGGATGAAGGATCATCTCTCGAACTGCAGCGGGAAAAAAGAAACCCAAAACATTAATCACGTTACACCGAAGTCCTACCGAAGCAACGCTCTGCACTGGGTTTCAGTTTAACAGCCTTGCTCAGACAGCAGCAAGCTCTCAAGTGAAAAACCAAAACGGGAACCTGCCCAAACCATTCCCCGACAGTACCTTGCAAAGAACTCCAACATAATCCAAATATGTCAAGGCCCATATAAAGTGTAAGTGCTCTACCTGGCCTCAAAACAATATCACACTGGAGTTTGAGGGGTTTTGTTTTGTTTTTAAAAAAGTGATAAAACAGCAAAGTCAAAAGACCTTTGTTCTGGTGTGAGAGTAAGCAAGCAGCAGTGCATCACTGCATTTCCCACAGGCTGCAATATTAGTGCTGATTAGAGGTTGTAAAGAATGCAAGTTCACACAGATTTAGTAGTCATGCTATCGTATCTTGGGAGAGAGAAGAGAAAATAAAAGTTACATTCATACTAAAACTAAAACCTCTCAAGCTACCAATATAGCACACCAACCATTAAAACAGAACATAACATTTAAGTCATCCATTTATTGGACATCTTTTTAATCCTGTTTTTTTTGTTGTTGTTTCATAATTATCTTTTTTCTCCCTGACACCCAAGCTTCCCTTTTATGAGTTAACAAAAAAGCAACTGTCTGGTGGGTGACAAGATACATACTACTAGAAAACAAAACCTGTATTAAGACAGATACAAAACCACCTGAAAGTGTTCTACCCTACCCACTTGCTACAGACACCTTTTAAGAAAGGGCTTCCTCAGAGCACCTTAGATTAACATCACTGTGTGGTAACCCATAATTAAAGAGAGCTTACTGAGATCCTCAGAGAGCTGTGGGAATTCATAGATGTGCTCACAAGTATTTTTACTGCTGGGGATGCAGAACCCAAATTCAAAATCAAAACTTTTAAGCAATTGATCCCGGAAGTAGTGTCTCTCAATCATGCGGAAGTTATTGATGGGTTTGTCCCCTACTGTGAATTCCACCCTGAAAAAGAAGGAGAAGATTGAAATGAGTTCTCTTGCTTAAGCAAGATTTGCAACAATTCCTGAAAAGCAGAAGAGCTCTTCTAAAAAAAAAAAAAAAAAAAAAAACAAACCCACCAAAACCCAAAGCAATGATACTAACCAAATTATCATTTCCTCTTAGAGTATGCTACAGGGACACAGCATAGCATTACAAATCATAGATTATACTATATTTTGATTCTTTTCACTCAAAAAAAAAGACATGCAAGACAACTCTACAACCTTGAACTCATCTTCAACGAAGAAAAGATCCCTCCAACTATACTAGACAGGCACTTCACTAGATCACTCACTAGATGTTCCTTACTGCACTGGATTTTTATACAAGTGATTTTAATTCTTCTGGTGGGTACCAAAAAAAAAGGCAGATCTACAGAAGATGGTCTTTCTTCTGTTCCTGCTTTGTAAGTGGTAAAGAGAGACAAGTTTCAGCCAGCACTATATTCAAGTTTCTCTTGCCAAGAAACATGACCTCTTGGAGAAGGATAGGTATTCCTTACATACCATACGCTGTGAGTAAGCCAGGAAGACACTGTTACTAGTTTGGCACAAATGGCAAGTTGGGTATTTACCATTTTAACCAAATAGCGGCCAAAGAGGTGCTCACTGATACATAACTTTAACCTTTCTTCCAAAATCTAAATGGTGGGCTTCTTTAGGTTTAGCAGGAAGTGGTAAGGTGCAACCTTGCTCTAAATACGTTCTCTAACAACAAATTTTAACTCTTTTGCAGCATAACCAAATGCTGAATGGTAATCAAGATCTCAAAAATAGTTTGTTGGGTTTTTTTAAGCAAGGCTACTGTACATGAGTTCTTGCGAAACACACATTTGCTGCTGAAGGGATCTGTCAAGCTGCACTCCAACATGAACCCAAACTAATGATTTCTATGTACCTGAAACAAACAGCTTTGTGCTGGAAACTGGCACTGATGCTCGATTACAGGATGATGGACTTAATGACATAATAGCAATGGGCATAAAGCTCTTGATTAAATCTACTAATTTAAACTTAAGTGAATGTAAAGGAAAACAAAAATAGCAAAGAATTTGCCATGCTATGACCCAATATCCTTCTAAAATACCCAGCAAAGACAAAGAAGCCCACCAGTCTGCTCTTTGGAGGGCCAGGAGAGGAAATACAAGCTGAAAATTGCATCTCTGCATGCATGTAGTTAGTAGTAACTACTACTAACTTTTACTAAAGGAACAATACACTCTGTCACCTGTATTACCGTAGCAATAACTTCGGCCTAAAGAGAAAGATACTTTAGGTGTCTCATTTTGGTGTGGTTTATTGACAGATGCAAGCAGTACTACCAGACACATCAAAGACGATTCCGGCACATAAAGCATCAAACGTTACTTCACCATTTCATGTTCCTCTATGGAATTATGTTTTTTGGGGAATGCAACGTGCAAGGCTGCAGACACATCTTCTGAAGCTGGCAGAGCCTCTGACAAACAAACTATAACGTGCAGAAAAGAGCTGGAATTATCTGTGTGGTCTGTCCACCTTATTTCGCTCCTTTCAGCATTAATCTCTTCAATGCCATGCCTATTCCTGAGGTAAATAAACAACGTAAAGGGATGGAGAAAGCCAGGCATCCTGCAAAGATTTTTGGAGATCCTCATAATAACAAAAGATCCCTATTAAACCAACTTCCTGACAGGATCAACAAGCAAGAGCCATTTTTTTATAAGATTTCAGTTGTTTTCCCCTACTAGAAAAAGCAGCACAAGAGCAATTACTTACGTGGCTCCCACTTGCCGAAGTCTAAGAAAAGCTGGGGTAAACTGATAGCGTACAAACCGTCCAGCATTGGGGTCAATGTCCTTCTTGTCATTGTGTTCACGTTCTGGAAAAGCGCAAAGTAAAGCTCCGTCATAGTCCTCTGAGAAACAGAAACTCAGTGAAAATACTTGCAATCCCACATTATTGAGTCATGTAAGCCAGGAAACTATTCTGAGAGAGCCCGATGTGCTTACCCCTCTTCCTAGCCTCTCTAAGGCATCCACTACTGGTCACTCAGAGACAGAGTATTGCAAGATGGCTCTTTGGTTTGATACACTTCTCATCTCCTGAAGTGACTTACTGCTCCTACCTCTGACCCAGGATTGCAGTGTGACTCTGAACAAGCCATTTCACCTGAGCATGTCTGGTTCGTTATCTATAAGCTACAGAAACCTTCCTCTCACCAGCAGGGAGATGGGGAAAGAGAGCTTGGTCAGGAAAAGAACAGTTGCCCTGGGTTTTTATTACCACTGGCAACAGGTAACACTTTGATGGTTACAAGTAAGACCTCAAAATTACAAAGAATAAAAACTAAAAGCAAATTTTCAGTTTGGCTACTTTGCACAATCGACAAAGTTTCTCCCTTTTGGAAACACCATTTTCCTGACTCCCAAGTGAAAGATGTTAGACTAACAATTAAACTACGTACAGGGGGACTCTAGCTGATGAACAGCCAAGAAACGAACACACGGTGATCTCCTCCTCCTCCGCTGCTTCTGTTTACAACACCCATCTGTCCTTTCTCATCACAGATGGCAATCGTAAGAATACAGCGGCAACGAGTTCTGTTCACTGGTACAAGGGGCCACCTGAATAGTATTTCTGCTGCAAGCTGAGACTCTAGCCCTCTTGCAGGTGAGAGCACCTCCTGTTTTGGGGAAATGTGTTGAGTAAAAGGAGTGGGCAAAGGCAAAAGGAAGGAGGCACTTGCGTTTGTTTGTTCACGGAAACAGTATTTTGTGTGCGCGCTCACCTGAAGCTGCTGGTTTGGTGATTTCAAACAAGACGGTGCCAGATTCCATGTCCCGGATTTTGAACCTGGTGAAGTCTATCTTGTAAACATTCTCCTCTGGAGTGCACAAATAATCTGCAGAAGAAAGCAAATTTAAACAAAGGCTGCTCAGAATTACCAGGTATTTCTGGCTACTTTTTGGAGGGCACAACCAGCAGTGAGAGCAGCCCAAATGCATCTCCACTACCACCCTGGTTTTAATCCAAAACTAAGGTCTATGAAGACAGTCTCAGTTCTGAATGCTCACACCGCCCTGCTTAGACAGGACAGGGAAAAAGTTTCTCTCCCCCAGCACTCAGAGGTCATCACCTTTTTCCAACCCTGTGCCAGCATCTTCTGCATCCATTTCCCCACAGGGTGTTGAGAATAGTCAGCACCTCCATCAAATCCTAGCCTTTTCAGTGTAAGAGGCTTTGCCTGTTTTAAAAACTGCCCTCTGGCAGAATGCAAGTGCTAAGCAGCTTTGTGAGCACTAAGCCGACTGCACTTAACTGGAACAGGAGTGTCCTCCCTTGAGCCACCATCCCCTATCTCCAGCCCTCTGCAAACAAAGGATGGCCTCTTCTCTCCAACGATGCTTGTCCTGTGCAAGGAATTTTTTTTTCCCCCTCAGCACTAAAAATGGTGTTGAAGCCTTTCCCTGTGTTAGGAAACCAGTCTGGGAACAGAGCCCTTCCCTGCTTCCACCAGAGTCGGTGTCTTTGGGAGAAAGTCATTGTTTCTGGCTTCAGCCTTGCTGTGCCCCGAGACAGCTTCTTGGCCCAGGTTACAGCCTTCTCTCTGGGGAAAGAGCAGTGGCACTTCGTTTTCAGTGCACATACCAGCGCAGATTGAAAGCTGCTCCAACAACTTAGTTTATCCTGACACATCTAGGTGAAGGTTATACGTACACAAGCCAGGTCAGCTTTTGACCAACTGTGCATCTGCATGTTGTAGGAGACTTGTTTTGGAGCTTCTAAGGTGAAAGTAACACTTTAACATTCTAAT